AGAGAGAGAGAGAGAGCTGAGCTTTCAGCTGTGTATCAGCATTCCTCTCTGGCTTCAGCACTGAGGGCGTCTTTGCACCATGACAGCTGGAGAAGGTAAGACTGGAAATAGAAGATCACACACACACGCGTATAATACAGGTTTGAATTAGATGACGCATGTGAAAGTGAAAGAGGACTGTAGGATAATGAGAAAACAACAGTTTTATCTCTGTTATGTAATCTGTTCTCATTGAAATCTGCAGTCAGAGGAGACTGTAGTTCTCCCATGTGAATTCAGTGAATGGTGTTTTATTTTTTTGCTGCAGCACGGGAGGCTGTGATGTTACATTTCATGCCTTCTTGTTTATCTGTTAACAGTCTTGCCTCCAGTCTCCTCTCAGCGCCTCGAGCGACAGTTTGCCTAAAGTGTCCCAACACTTGTTTCATCTCGGCCGAGACGATTCGAGCTGAGAGAGTTACTGTCAATATGTAAACTGTTACTAATGGCTGTTTATAATATGCATCATCTGGCAATCCATTCAACCCCTCCTTCGTTTGTGTAATCTGGCTCCTGTTGGATTACTTTTTGCCTTCTTTTTGCCTTCTTAAAGTGTACAGAAGTATTCATTTCATGGTATTATTTAGAGCCTGACCGATATGGGATTTTTCAGACCGATATTGATTTTTAAAGGGAAGAAAATAAACCCAATATGGTGGCCAATGTAGTGACGCACTGATTCTGATTATGCAAATGTACTCAGAAGGCTACTCCCTTAAACAAATACATTTATTTAAAGATATTTAAGTTGTAATTTAATTAATGTTAATAATTTATACATTATCAACGAATTCTGGTTGACGTTGCTGACAGCTGCTTCTTCTCTCTGACTCTGTGCTGCATCTTACGGTATCATAAATCACGGCGCACTCTGTTGGATAAACTTTGAAGGGAGACACCAACATTATACAGATGATATTGCATTATATACAGTAGGGGTGTGCATCTGTCCCTTCGAAGACGATCTGATACGTATCCAGATACATGAGCTACGATACGATTTAGGGATGATTTATAATTACATTTTTATATGGAATTCTATAAAGTCAACAGAATCAGACCATTGATCGGTTCAGGGTCCATAAAGATCGATCCAGGAGTCCGCGTATCAATGTAGTCGCATCTATAACCGTAAAACTGAATTCTGATCAGTATCAGTAAATGTTTACACGTCTAAGACTGGTAGTCTCTATACAGCTCTTATGTCCTTTCTGGGCTCATTTAAATTGAACACCAGGAATGCAGCTGAATTTATTGTAATCAGCAGCACTGATTCGCTCTCATTATAAGCCTCTTCCAGAATAACGCAGCACAACTAAAACCCCAAATTTAAAGTGCACAGATCTTAATCTCTAGAGCTCAATAACAAGTATTTCATTAGGTTGGTTGGCCGATGGAGAGCACTGATAGGAGTGATTGTTAGGTTACTTTTTCATGCATTCATGCATTCTGCAACATTACGACCTCAATTAACTAAAAAATTTGCCCACCACAGACATTTTTCTGTACACAACAGTATCGTGTGGAATCTGAAATAAACAAATGAATTTACGTCAGAGTAGTGAGGAGCTTGGTGTGGGGGCTGATAACAGTGAGATCAGTATGTAGGCCACAGTACTGCTTTGTGCTGCAACTAACGTTTATGTATTTTGGTTATCAGTTAGTAGAGTAAACTTTATGGTTCCGTAGACATGAATTTTTTTCTTGGAAAGGTGGGTTTCTAGGGGGGCCCTGAAATGTGATTGGC